TCTTTTAAAAAAAAAAAGCAGCAGTTGGCAAGAACTTATGTTTCTTATGTAAACAAGTATGAGGAAAAGAGAGAGTCAGAGAGAAAAATGCTGCCATCTGCTCATTTACCCCCCAAATGCCTGCAGCATGGGCTGGATAGGCCAGAGGCAGGAGTCAGTCTGGCTCTCCTGTGGAGGCAGGTCCTCCATTGTGTAAGTCCTCATCTGCTGCCCCCTGGGATGTGCAGTCACAGGAAGCTGGAATTGGGAGTGAAGCCGGGACGTGAGTCCAGGCACTCTCGTGTGGAAGGCTGGAACTGTAAGCAGTGTCTTAACCACTAAGTCCACTGAAACATCCACTTTGAACTGTTTTGATAGTTTTATTTTGCCTTTACCTTCGTATTTCTAAACAACATGCTTGTCACACCATTAATTATTCAACTAGATACCACTTTTCTTATAACTATGAGAAATGGTACTTTTATGGCTGTCTTCATAAATATATTTTTGCTCAGACTACCCACATTCGCTATTATTCATAGTATGTGTTATCATGACTTTACATATATGATTCATTGCCAAAGCAAATGGTCTTCTATATTTTCTTTCATCAATATTGTTTATGGAAGTTAGTTTCCCCTCGCTCCTTTTTTCCCTCATCTGCTTTGCTTTGTTCACATTTGTGGCTAAATCTCATATTCTCTAGAAAGTATTAAAAAAAATTAAAAAAAATTAAAAAAAATCTGTTTACTTTTGCATACTGTCAAGACTATCAATCATTTTTTTTATCATTCTCTCTTACTGCCTCAGTTTAGACTGGCTGTTCTCTGCCTTCTGTTGGCCTGCTGCCATCTGTGATTCTGGAACTTTCTATTAGGATTTTCTCCTGTGATGAATTCCTAGATCTCATGGGATGTACACAATTCAGTCACCATATTTGTCAAAATGTTGCCTATTCTAGCCTTTCATTAGCTTGAAATCTAGTTAGGTATAAAATTCTAAGTTGGATGATATGTTTTCCTTCAGAAATTGTAGTGCAATGCAGTGCTACATTTGCCTTTTAGTCCTTTTTGTTTTGCTGCTTAGTATTTGTGTATAATTCAAATTAAATGTAAATTTAACGTAAATTTCCTCTCTTTCTCAGGAGTTAATTTTTTTTTTATGTGGGAAAGATTTTAAACTCTTCCTATCCTTCTCGATGTTCTAAAATTTTTACCGTGGTGTATCTTGGCCTAGCTGTGTTTTCATTTGTTTTATTGGGCACTCAGTGAGTAGGTCCTGAAAATTTGAGAACAAATAACCTGACTTGTTCGATGGACCCTTTGCTTTTATTATTTTTAAAAATATTTATTTACTTCTATTTGAAACGCAGATTTACAGAGAGAAGGAGAGACACAGAGAAAGATGTTCCATCCTCTGGTTCACTCCCTAAGTGGTTGCAACAGCTGGAGCCAAGCCAATCTGAAGCAGGAGCAAAGAGCCTCTTCCGGATTTCCCATGTGGGTGCAGGGACTGAAGGACTTCAGCCATCCTCTGCTGCTTCACCAGGCCATGATCAAGGAGCTGGATGGGAAGTAGAGCAGCTGGAACACAAACCAACACCCATTTGGGATACTGGCACTGCAGGTGGAGGATTAACCTGTTTACCACTGTGTTGACTAAATTTTATTATTTTTTACATTTACATCTTTTGGATCTTTTTGTTCTATTTTCTGTTTACTCACTATTCCTTTTTCTATAAAATTTTATTCATGTTTTATGGATTTTTCTTCAAAAATTTAAACTTCAGTCACCTATTTCAACTCTGCTACTTTCAGACACTACATTTTCGGTGTTTTTCGTTTCTAGTGTGCTACATCAGTCATTCAGAGTTATATAAAGCAAAGCTATTGATAATAAAAGTAAGCTGCCACTAACTACCCATCAAAAAGGCTTTCAAGATGACAGTGCTACTCAGCATGTTTCCTAGGTTCATCAACTGGATAACCATGAGGCAGTTATCAGTTGGAAGTGAGTGAGAAGCATACCTCTGCTTGCGCTCAGAGTAGAAGGGCAGGAACAAGCCTTCAGATAGGAAATGAGTGTGTTGTTGTTTTCTCAAGAGACCAAGACAGAGTGGACACCTGGGTCTCCGTCTGCTAAGCCCTTGGAAACACCTCCCTTTTCCACACAGTCATGTTTAAGGCTCCTGCAGGTCCTACCACAGTTTGTAACTTTATCTACCATTCATTTAGGTTATCCAAGAGTGAAAATCATATCTGAGATGTTTAAATATTAACTTACCCCTGGGAAATTTTACATTTGGAACTGAGGAAAAGAGACCAATATTCTTCTGGTCACTGGAATTCCAAGATACAGAATTTGAAAGTTTTTAGGAAATATTTATCTTGCCAAACAGATGGATAATTCTAATGAAATACTTCATAGGTGTCTAAAGCCAACGTGTCTTAGAACCATTTCTCCATTTATGAAATAAAAAAGCTGTTCCTGTTGCTTGAAATGCTCCTTCACCTACAGATGCCGAACCAATTCTTCCTTGAAGTGTCAGTCTAACCATCCTCCGACAGGCCCATTCCCCAGTCTACAGTGGGTGCCTGTTAGCACTGCTGCTTTTTTTTTTTTTTTTAAAGATTTATGTTTTTAATTTTTATTGGAAAGGCAGATATACAGAGAGGAGAGACAGAGAGGAAGATCTTCCGTCCGATGATTCACTCCCCAAGTGAGCGCAATGGCCGATGCTATGCCGATCCGAAGCCAGGAGCCTCTTCCAGGTCTCCCACATGGGTGCAGGGTCCCAAAGCTTTGGGCCGTCCTTGACTGCTTTCCCAGGCCACAGGCAGGGAGCTGGAAGGGAAGCGGGGCTGCTGGGATTAGAACCAGCGCCCCGGGTGTGCAAGGCGAGGACCTTAACCACTTGCGCCACCGCACCAGGCCCATAAGAGACTTTTTTTTAAATAAAGTTTATCACAAGAAAAAACATAGTTTTTACATATGCATGGTAGTTACATATATAAAACTATCTATCTATCTATCTATCTACCTATTTATCCATCCATCTGTCTAGTTCCGTTCCACTCAGTTTTAGTCATCCAGGGGAGAGCTTGCAGTGCATCATCTAGGGATGAGGAGAGTGTATGTACATCCTTTTCATTTATAAAATCAGGGGCAAAGTCATAGTAAATATGTTCTCAAATAGCAATGCATAAAACCCACAATTCTCTTGAACAGTATAATCATCTCTGTGTTATGTGGCTTATTCTACTATCACAGCACACACACAATGAGCCTGGCTACTCAGGCCTCTCCCAAGAAACCCAGGCCTGAATTCAAGTCAGGCCTTTTTCCCTTCCATGGTGCCAGACTGGCTTTCTTGGATACTGAGATTAGAGGACAATGGCATTTGATCCCCTGTAACACTCAGAAGAATGGTCTTCAGAAATACAGTCCCAAGTGTTCTCCTTGCAAAGGGCGGTTTTAAGAATGGCTTGAGTGAGGGCTTTCACTGCTGTGTGGTTGTGCTCTCCTGCTGGCCAGCACCCCAACTCCCCGGAGGGACAAACCGCAGCAGTTTCTGGGCAGATCTCTCTCCTCTGTGTCTTGTATTGTCTTCTGCCTCGATTACACTTCGGATATTTACCAGGAACACTTCAAATAAGACCTCTTTGGGAGGCTTGGATGTGTGTGTGAGTGAGGGAGTGGAGTAGTTTTAGCATAAAAACAATTTTGGCAAACCATTGTTATCAGTCCATTATCTAGTGAAAGCCTTCCTAGAATTCAAGAGGATGAAAGGTACAAATATATTTAATATGTAATCCTGTGCCCTTCCCACTTTAAAGCAAGCTTTATTTTTCTTGGAAAGGCAGATTTACAAAGAGGAGAGACAGAGAAAGATCCTCCTTCTGCTGGTTCACTCCCCAAGTGACTGCCACAACCGGAGCTGAGCTGATATGAAGCCACGGAGCAGGAGCTTCTTCTGGGTCTGCCAAGCGGGTACAGGGTCCCAAGGCTTTGGGTCGTCCTCTACTGCTTTCCTAGGTCATGGGCAGGGAGCTGGATGGGAAGTGGAACAGCCAGGACATGAACCAGTTCCCATATACGATCCTGGGGAGTGCAAGTCGAGGATTTAGATGCTGGGCCATCACGTCGGGCCCATCGTGTACCCTTTCAACCTTAGACTTTAAATATTTAAGGCCATACGATGCGGTTACACCAGTGGTCCTAGGTCTAGCGCCCGTCAAAAAAAAAAAGCTGTCTTAAGATGATTCCATTGGATAAAACAGACAAATGCAAAAAATATTTGGAATGCAAGCGATTGCAAAATCACATGTTGTTTTCAAACCAGAGGCAGTCTTCATCCAGGGATTCATCAAACTGATTGGCACCCATCTGCGGGGCCAGTTTGCATGCTGGTTGAAGACCTCGCTTGGGCAGCAGACAGTTCTCTGCCATTCCCTAGTTCGCTGTCTTGGGGAAGAGGGTTCCCTTCTGGAAAACAGGCTAGAAACAGGCGTGCGTTACCTCAGAGGGCGGTCACTGCACTGAGCCCATACATACTGCTTACAGTGGTGGACAGCTATCCGTGTCTTTGAACCCCGATTTTCTTTCAGCTCCCCAGGGTCAGCGTAAATATCTTGAAAGACCTCTGTGCTGAGTGGGTTCAAGTCTTACTTGAGTGCTTTCTCCAGAGAGGATTACAGGAGAAGGAAGCCTGAGGGTACTAGCTAGTGTCTGCCCTGTGATTCTTCCAGGTTGACTGGCACTGCATCTCTCCCCCGGTTGAAGTTCACGCGCATCCCTAAGGCCTGGGTCCCCGTCGGCTCGAGGCTCCTGGTCCCTGGTGGTCTCAGGGGGCGCCCCGGCTCCGTCATCCCGCCCCTCCGTGCTCGGTCCTCGCCCGCTCTCCACAGGCCGCGCCCGCGGGCACCGGGGGAGGGAGGCGGTCGCTCGGCCGTCGCTCGGCCGTCGCTCGGCCGCGGCCCGTGGGCCAGGCGGCGCCAGCGCGCATGCTCAGGGCGGCTGGGCCCGCGGGGCGGAGGCGGCCTGGGCCGGACGCGGGCCACGCAGCGGCGGGAGAGCGCTCGGCGGCGTCCTGGAGACCCCGGAGAGATGGAAGCGGCGGCGGCGCCGGCCGAGGCGGCGGGGCACGAGGAGCTAGGTCGGTGTTGCCTGTGGCCCAGGCCTGAGAGAGAAGCGGGTGTGTGGGGCTGGGCGGCGGGACGCTGGCCCTCGCCGGGGCTCCGCCCGCGTCGGGGCGGGTGTGTGTGTGTGCGCGCGGGAGAGAGAGACGGCGACGCGTGAGGTGGTGGGGGCGGCGTGCGGGGCCCGCGCGGTGCCGGTGTGAAGCCTTGGAGCGCGCACCTCCCCGGGACGCTTGCAGGGCGGCGGGGTCCGCGGGCCGGCCGAGGGCTCGGGCGGGGGCAGGGCTGTGTGCCGGGCCGTCCTCCGGAGCCGGCCGGCTGGTCCAGGGATGCTGTGAGGAAGCGGCCGCCCGTGGCCCCCGGAGCGGGAGGGACCTGTAGCTCCAGCGCTGGGCCGAGTTGGTCTTCCTGCTTTCCGCTGTGCTGTCTGTCCCTGGGCGACAGGGAATGTTTGTTTTCTCACTGTCTGGAAAAAAACAAATAAAGGTCAAGCTGGGGCAATAATGTCCTCCTGGTTAGGAATTTCACCTCCGAGTGAGTCAAACTCAGCTGTGGAAAGGTACTTTAAAGAAAGCAGGACGATGCTCTTGTAACCATATGTATTATATATTGCAATTGGTTTCTGTTAAATCAACCCTTTGTTGAGTGTTTATTGTGTTCAAGCAGTGTGCTTCGTCTTGCACATAAGCCCCTTGTCCTTTAATCCTCACACAGATTTGGTGAGGTAAGGCTGGGGCTGTTGTTTTATGGATGTAGTCATTTGCATTTTATTAGTGTCAGACTCAAGATGTGAATGGAGGTGTAACACTTTTAAGTTAACCAGTAACCTGTGTCAGGATGTGGGAGGTGAGTGTTCTCGTTGCTGGCAGGAACAGAATAATGTACCGTTTTACCTTAATTGTACACGTCATTTGACACAGCAAACATCACATTTCTTGAGTACTTCTCAAAAAAAGGGAACAAGCATGTATATCCAGAGATTGCTGCTACAGTATTTGTGTCAGAGAAAAGCTGTTAACTCTTGTTGTCTAATTAAAGGAAATTGGTTAGGCAGATGTGATCTACAAGCTAGCCGTTAAAAGGAGTATGCAAAGAGCATATACATTTTGATTAACTGAAAAAAGTTTCGGATCCTTTCATTACTTTTAAAAGTTTCATGGGTGCATTAATTTAATGCATACTCACTGAGCTTCTTTAATACACTTGAGACACATTGCGAACAAAGCAAATAAAGATCCTTGTTGTCTGGCTTGGTTCTAGTAAAGGAAAGCAGACCTAAACATTAGCGGCAGTAATCATTTAATTACTTGCCTGGTGAAAATTGTTGTAGAAAACAGGAGCAAGCCCAAAGAACTCAGGAATGAGGGTGGGGTGAGAAATCACACATACCTAAGAATGGCCCTCATTGAGCACAGAGGGAACATTAGTCAAATGAGTACGTGGGGAAAGGCTGTCCCAAGCAGGACAGAACAGCGTAGGCAGACAGGAACAGAAAGCAGAGGAAGGTGCCTACAGCACTGACCAAGACAATGTAAGGCCAGGTTTTGCAGGGTCTTGCAGGTCATGGAAAGGCTATGGGTTTTACTCTGAGAGAGCGGGTAGTAGATCCCATCACCCCCACAACATTTTAATGAGATTTTCCAGGCCTGTTCATATAAGGTTCGTAACTTCTAACACAAGGAGTTCTGTGATTAGGAAATATAGAACCCACTCATGACATCTAAGTGGCTAGTAAATACTGTTCTTTTTCTACCTGAGTAATGATATATAGAAGCAAACTCTATAGAATTTTAAAATGTCAATCTTAAACGAGACATTAAGGCTGATTATTAATAGCAATTAGTAATTCTGGCTGTTGTTTGAGCTACAAACTATGCCAACATGGGCAAAACATGGAAGGTAATAGAAGAGACTAGTAGTTCAGATCCAACAAAAATGCTAGCAGAGTTAAGAATATGTAAGTTAAAATTGAGCAGTAATCCCAGGGTAATGAAAACAATAAGAGCTAATTTACATTACACATAAAAGATCTTATTGATAAATGTCTTCATGTTTTTTATTCAGTCACAGTCTGAAAAATGTAATTGCTGTAGACAAAAATAGCAGTGTATAAAATAGAACAGTATTAGGCAATGGATTTCAACCTGCCTAGACATAATTATTTTTGTTTATAAATGGAATAAAATAGAGGTATAAAAATTGCTAACGTTTCAGTCTTGTAATTATATATTATATATGTCACAATCTGATATATGTTGTATTGTAGTCCATGTGTACATAATAATGGTACACACAAAGGAATATTCTTAGGAATACTTCTGTGCTTTCTCTTACTGCTGAGATGTTCTGTGCTTTCTCTTACTGCTGAGATGTTCTTCCGGCCTGAATTTTCTAGCCTAAAATCAACCTCAGTTTCTAGTTGTAGTCAGAGTAGAGAAGGATCAGATGAATTTGGCAATGTGTATTAAAATACTTACAGTGTTAATTCCTTTCTACCATTCTGCTTCCGGAAAGCCACTACAAGTAAGAAAGGAATTCTTCCCAAAGATAGTAACTGAAACATAAATGTTGAAAATTTAACAGTAACCTAAATATGAAACATCAGGAAATTGCTGCAATAACTGAGGCACATACACTTTACAAAGTGTTGCGCAAACATTAAATTATGGTTCTGTAGTCTGAGTGAAGCAAGGAGAAGTGTGTCATATACTGAGTATGAAAAAATTGAATAGTCCCAATGTTTTTACAGTAGTATTTTAAAAAATTGAATGAAAATAATGGAAAGAAAATATACCAAAATGTGAATATGCTAATGAGAATATAGATGAACGGCGGGATTAGGAGTGCCTTTTCATCTTTTTCTGAAAAATGTACAGAAGAGAAAGTAATCAAACTTCATTGCTTTTATGCTGGCATAACGGAGGAAGTCATTTATGTTTTGTCAAGTGAACTAAAAATAAGTAGAAAGAGCCATTGTAACAAATAACATGATTTTACTAAGTCTGTAAAAAATTGTATGAAGTTACTGGGACAGTAGTTTATTCATTTTGGGGTGGAGACATTGACACAGTGGGAAGCCTTCCAGAGGTCCCGAGAGCCTGTGAACTAATGTGCAGGCCATAGCTATTTATGTACGTAAGAGAACTTGTACCTTAGCATCTTTCTCCCAGTGATTTCCATCCTGGTAACATAAAAAAAAAAAACCCTTTTGTAAACTAAATAACATGTAGTCATTGTATTGTAGAAATTTAGAATGAAAAATAGCATTTTTGAAATTAAAAATTATCCAACCGCTTAGAAATTACTCTTGCAAATTTAGATACACACTTACACAATTGATGTTATGTGGTTCCATGCTTTGAATACTATGTGTATGCTGATAACTTCAGAATCTATGTCTTGACCTAAACTTTCACTAATTCACTAATTCTAGACATAAATCTAATTACCTGAATGACACCTGCAGTTTGATATGTAATACACATCTCAGAGTTAACATGCCTCAAACTGAATACCTGGTGATCTTCGCTGTTCACCTGTTCCTCCTGTGACTTCAGCCATCTGTATTCGTTACCTACCACCGTATGACAATTTCTAGCAGTTGTTGGGAGACCTCAGTTCTGTGTAGTCCTTTCTTAGGACTACTTGAATATCTTTACAATGTAGCAACTAACTTTCTCTAAAATGAGTGATCCAAATCAGAGCACGGAGGAAGACATAATGCCTTTTATGATTAGTGTTGAAGTCACAATTCATTGCTTCTACCAAATTTTATTCCTTAGAAGTTACTATCGGGCCCGGCGCGATGGCGCAAGTGGTTAAGGTCCTCGCCTTGCACGCCCGGGATCCCATATGGGCGCCGGTTCTATCCCAGCAGCCCCGCTTCCCTTCCAGCCCCCTGCCTGTGGCCTGGGAAAGCAGTTGAGGACGGCCCAAAGCTTTGGGACCCTGCACCCACGTGGGAGACCTGGAAGAGGCTCCTGGCTTCGGACTGGCATAGGATCGGCCCGTTGCGCTCACTTGGGGAGTGAATCATCGGATGGAATATCTTCCTGTCTGTCTCTCCTCTATGTATATCTGCCTTTCCAATAAAAAAATAAATAAATAATAAAAATAAATCTTTTAAAAAAAAAGAAGTTACTATCCAGCCCACATGTACATGTAAGGAAATTATATTCTTCCTCTTGAAGGCTGACACATCAAAGAATTTGTAGACATTATATAACTACCCTAATGTCTCAGATAGTGACAATTTCATTCCTGTAGATCCTCATGTCCTTGAAGTCGACATTGTCTCCTAAGGGATAACGTTAGTTCTACTTATAAAATATATCCAGTCTGACCACTTTTCTGTTTGCTGCCACCATAAGGCTCTGAAGGACCTGCACATCTTTTTCTGGAATTACTGGAATACCCTCATGCTTTTGCTTTTAGTCTCTATTGGCCTGTTTGTCACACAGCAGCTTCTGAAACCCTTTGAAAACTAAAGTTAGATCATTTCACTCCTCTGCTCAAAACCAGTGCTCTGCTGTCCAGAACAGAACGGTGGTCATTAGCTATATGTGCGTATGGCACACTTGAAGTGTGGTTTTTCTGGATTGAAATACACTGTAGATATTAAAAGCTGTATTTTTAAAAGTTAGAATGGGAAGCAGAATATAAAATCTTTAATTTTGTTAACATTAAAATTCCATGTTGAAATGAGAGTATTGTGAACACAGCAAATATCTCAAAATTAATTTCATCACTTTTGCTTTTTAAAAATATGTGCTTACTTGACAATTTTTAAAGTTGTTGACTGACATTATATATATATATATATACATTTAGAAGGCGTTACTGAGTCCGTATTGTGACTTAAGGCATTTCACAGCTATGTGCAGTGCTAGCATTCCATATGGGTACCGGTTTGAATCCTGATTGGTCTGCTTCTGATCCAGCTCCATGCTAATGCACCTGGGAAAGCAGTGGAAGGCGGACCAAGTCCTTGGGCCCTGTTCCATGTAGGAAACTTAGA